CAAGTTCCTAAGACATGTTTGCCATATATCTCAGTGGCATTGTGTGCAAATTGTGTGGGAAGGTATGGTGTTGTATGTAATCCAACACAAGTACAATAGAATTTTGTAAGATTTGTTTTTACACCTCGTGTACACTGCAATCTCTTGTGCTCTGGGGAGCAGCTACTCTGTCATCTACTATCTTCATCACTGTTACTTCACATCAGTGTTATTTGTGTATTCTCTACTGAATTTACATGAATAACTTTGTGTCATACAGAAACAAGGATATGGATGCCTGTAGTCTCTGGCTGTCTTTCAGGCCTCAGTAATGCAGAACACACCAATCTTAACAGATATTGTCGAGGCCAAAGCCAGTGTACTTTGAAATTGTCATGATCCTTTTCTGAAGATTGAGCTTCTGATTTGCTTCAGGGAGGACTTCTTACCCAGCATGGATACACTGAAGTAAAATGATGAATATTCTTGGTCAAGATTTAGTCAGCATCAGATTCCTCTGTTGCTTCCGATGTACAATATGTTAGTCATTGAATCAAATCTATGCTGATTGCTATGCATTTATCAGTTAAGGTAAGGCAAGAATAGAAGTTAGTCGTCAGAAGATAAAGTTATTAGCTGAAGGAGTTATCATGGGAGCTACAGAAATGCTATTCCAGGATAGCAATGGTCCCCAAAACTCAACAGGAAAATAATGTAAGTGCTGCTTATGATACTGTTCCTAGCAATTAGCAGGCACTTGGTAAATATTTGTTCAGTAAATAATGATATAGTAAATTTCTTGACTTATCTTTCCTGGTCACTTCTGTTTTCATCTTTGCAAAACTATCCTTTCTCCAATGGTCAGCTTTTGTCTGTTATATAGAAATAAAATAGGACTTGAGAGATTAACCTGGTCAGATTATCTTATAGGCAAAGGCAGACGTTCTAAGGAATTTTCCTGCAAGCCTAAGGAGTGCTTCTCCCATGTCTGTTGGGGTCACTGTGAGTGGAACTGACTGCACCAGCAGCGAGGGTTATTTGGTTTTAGTGTCCTTACTACTTAAGAGATACATCGATGTTGGCAACAACATTCCCAAAATAAAAACATGTAAGTAAACAAGGATTATGGGGTGCAATCATGTATCTGACGTGGTGTTCTCTATTCAGCCTACTGACCTGTATACAAAGTGACCCCTAACTTCCTCTTCCCAGACTTCTTGTACATGTGCAGTCAGACCATGGTGCTGGCTTGTGCTAATTTTCCTCTGATCATAGGAGTGACATTGGGCAGAAATAAGAAATAGAATATCACACTAAATTGTCGAGTAACTCTGAAGCCTTTATAAATGAGCCCAGTAAAATCATAAACCCATGTGATCCACTGTGTTTGACCTGTTGTCTTGACTTGAAATAAATCTGTCAGAAAGCATGTACAAAGAATAATTAATAAGTCATTTAAGACATGCGTGGGCTTCAAAAAGTTCATGGGAAAATTCCATTATCTTTTTATTCAACTTTTTCATGAACTTTTTAAAGCTCCCTCACAGTATGATAGAAAGATAGAAATTAAATGTATATTCTCAAAGAATGAAGGATACAAGAGGGAGAAGAGAAATCAGAGAAGTTGGGGAGGGGGGACATTGATGACTTGTTTGAACTGCTGAATGCAAACGTTGATGATCCAAAATGTAACACCACCCCTACCCCCCCACCCCCCCCACCCCGCCCACTCAATTCACTATTATTAAATAAAATAAAAAGTATATCCTTACAACTGGATCAATAAACAACACTGTGAAAAAAAACACTATGATGAATGGAGAGGAAATCGAAGCTGTTAGCAATTTCATTTACTTAAGTCAACATCAGGTAGTGCTAGTGGCGTTGTCAGGTAACCATTGGCCTGTTAACTGCAAAGTCATCAGTTCAAACCCACCAGCCACTCTGCAGGGGAAAGGAGAGGCTATCTGCTTCCATAAAGATGTACAGCCTCGGAACCCCTATATAGAGTCTCTGAGAGGTCTCCGCCGCGCAGGCCGCGATGTCCTCTTGGCCGGGGCGCGACGACGCAG